CTAATTAAAATAATACCAACAATTTTATTAGTTTTAATTTACTTATCAATAATCAAATTAGTCGAGTTATGATTTTAGAGACTGATTTATGAATATTTCAATATCTAAATTATCACTATCAACCATATACAATAACTCAATATCAATACTCTGTGATATTGTTATCCTCATCGTATTTGCATTGTACTATATTTCATTGACACAACCCATTGAATTGCACAAAAGGAACTTAATCTAATGGAATTTTCTTAAACCAAAATTCATTAATGTCCCCTTTTATCAATTTGTTGCCTCTTGTATATGAGATGTGTGATGGAGAACTTGGGTTATGGCTGCAAAATCGAAGAGGATGATTCAAGGGGCTCATGCACTACACAGTTTGATGAAACTGCGACGGGGTTTTCCTCTAACTTCAGCATGAGGCTCCACAAGATCTCTGTCAACAGTTTCTTGAACTCATCTTCTTTAACCATCTTTCCGTCATCCGCATGTGCCGTTCTGAAAACATCAGCGACAACATCGTCGATCTGGTGAATTTCAAGGACTTTAGTAAGTGGAACGAAACAGGGGAAATCAAGGCCGAAATTGCATGTGCGTGATATGCCATTGAGATACCTGTTCGACCGCACCGATAGGAGGTAGACCGGCAGATGGAGCCACTTCATCTAGCACAACGCGTAAACAGTCGGTCGATATTTTCCCATGGCGATCTCTGGGAACGTTTTGTAAAGCTGCATTCAGTGACTGCATTTGAAAAGTGGAAGCATTGATTAGTAAAGACCAAACATTCATGGAGTGGGACAACAAGGACACATACCCTGTCAAGTTCAAACTTGTTGGATAGAAATCTCTTGATGCCACTACCATCAAAAGTGTTTTCACTATGGGCAACAATCACAGGCTGCTCCCTTAGATTTTGAGCCACATGCTTCGCCACTTTTTTAAGTTCTTCCAAGAACGTTATTTTAGAGACAGGCACGCCTTCGTCATAGCCATCCCATGATTTTAAAGCTGGTTCCACTATGTTGCTCATAACCTACATCACCATCACAAGCCAAAAACGAAAGGTTGAGATTTCAGTTTTACATAATATTAAAATTAACCATTAACATTGGTCTGAATTATCATTTTGACTCATATTTTTTTAGAGCGTTTTAACCTTCAATGTTTTATTTTTTTATTTATCAAAATCACTCATTTTGAATGAAAAAGTTAATTAACCATCGATGTATGTTATTAATACGATATTTTTACATGTATTAAATTATTGATATATTATATATCATGTTATTTAATATATTATATATCACGTTATTTAAGATAATGATATGATATGTGTTATATCATTCATGACAATAATATGATATGTACTACATTATCTAAGATGATATCACTCAAAATAATGTGACAAGTGATATATTAATAACTAAACGCATGTAAAAATATCACATCAATAACGTATAATGGACTAATAATTTTTATCTAGTTTATGTTATTATGTTATTTTAATCAAAAATTGAAGTGTTGAAAGATTAAAATGTTCGGAAAAAATTGAAACTAAAGTAATCATTTAAATAAACATAAGAGGTTAAATAAAAATTAAGACTTTCGATTTTCCCTGCATTTCCTTAATGTTACCGAGATGTAGATAGGGAAAGTAAATCACCCATGAATCGGAACAAGGGGGCATTCCATGATCAACCGTAAGTTTCCCAAAAGCCTTAACAATGCAGTCGAGCAACGACGCATCATCCGAGCACCCTATCTGTGAAAATACAGACAACATCTCTTCATCATAACTCGGACCATCGATGAATTCCAACAGATCTTCTCCTTCAATACGAAGAATCACAACAGGGTCTCGCTTCAAACCCGCGGCCATACCTAGTAGAATATCTGAAAGAACCTCTTTAAACTCTGTCTTACTCACTTTTTCTTGTTGTCCATGGGTGAATTCGTTCAAAACCTGAACAAAAAAAAGGAGTTGTTGAGGGGGGAAATGGGAAAAATAATACTACAAGGCGACGATTGTTGGGGACAAACCTCAGAGTAGATATTATCGGAAACAGGAGAAGAACCCTGAACAGGCAAGCCAAGAGCAGCACCGATATCGGCAACGGCAGGCTTTAATTCCTTTACGGAGAGCTGACCATCGTTGTCCTTATCGAGCTCCTTGAATTTATGATCCACGAAGCTACTAAACACCTCGTCGTTCTCAACTAATTCCATTATACTCGAACCGTCTAGTACCTGCTGATCACTTTTCTCCTTTACGGAGGTTCCTGTTGTTGCTGTACTCGTCTCCATTAATTTCTTTGAACTCACTGACTGAGACCGTGGTTTTCTTTTGCGAATCCCGTGAGTTGAACACGAGTTAAAAAGAGGCGAGCATGTTCAGATTTTGGACTTTTGGTGAAGGTGAGTCTCCCCTTTGGCTCAGACACGTACTGAGTTTTTTTTTTTTGATTTTTTTTTTTGTGTTGGGGGAGGGGGTGTTTCTTTTGTGTCGTAACGCCGTCTTCTTTGGACTTAAAGCTATTATTGTCGGTAAAAATATATATATTACTTAAATAATATAAATAAAATTAAATGTAACAACTAATATAATATTATTTAAAATAAAATATACAAATAGTCTTCTAATAATATGAGGTTATTTTGTTGAATTTTTTATTATTAAAAATTATAAAATTGTTTCAACTAAATGATATTATTTTATTAAGTCTCTCGATTAATAAAGATTATCCCATAATTAATCGATTGTTTATATGTTTTAAATATGCCCTTTTTTATTTAACAACTTAAGGTCATGTAAGCTTGGCATTAATTTATTGATTGAGATATAATAAAATTATATTTTATTAATTTCTACTAGCACCGTTATTGCTTTCAAACACTGACTCGACGACATAATGTTTCAAGCATTAGCTCGACGACATTAAATAAACGGAGAATTCATCCAAAAATAAAACTCAAATAGTTTCAGGATTAAATTTTATCATATTGCAATTAACAAGCTAAAGCCTAACTTAAACGGTCGTCGATCTTTTAACAAAAATGAACGAGTATGGAATATAAAATAATCGAGTAACTATTTTGTAACTTTTAATAGTCGAAGAATTTAATAAAATAAATCTTATAATTAAAAAACTATTCTCTATAACTTTTAATAATTAAAATACTCAATAAAAAATCCTAAATTGAAGAATTATTTATATAATTTACTTTATTATTTAATTAATAAAACAAATGTGTAAATATTTCTTTGTATTAGAATTTAAAACGTGTATCCGAAATATAAATAGAGAGTGAAATTTAATGCCTGAACAATTTTATGTGTAGGAAAAAATTATTGAGGAGAAGATTAGTTAGAAACCAAACACATCCCTAGCAAAAGGATGGACCGGCGACCACTAATCAATTTGTGGCTAAGACACGTGGGGCGGTTAGGAAGCTTCCAAAAACAAAAATACACCAGGATAGATATATGTAACCGACACCTAAATTTTGTGGTCGGTTCAGCAGTATATATTATAAAATTTTGTATGATTTTTATTTTTTTAAATTATTAATAATATACATATTTTACATATGTAATTGTATAAACTCACAATCTTAAAGGATAATACTATTTTTGTATAACAAGATTGATGCAGAAAGGATTCCCATGGAAGGTGATTGGGGCTTTAATTCACATTTGTTGATATCACATCAACTGAAGGTTAGGGAAGATCCCCTGATTCTACGTTATTGAATTTGGATTGTTGGGCGGTCGGATTCATGTATGTGAAAATCGAAAATTTCATTTGGCGTACGATTCAAAGACCATGGCCTTAGGTTACAATGGGATCATGTACAGGTCCAATATGTCACATCTATTTAATACAATCATATTTAACCATCAAGCTGCTTTTCAAACGCCAAAATTAGATTGGTAAATAATTTATATTTGAAAAGGATTTATATATAACTAATTAATAGTTAAAATTTATATAAAATCATAAAAGCTTATTAATAGACTCAGAACGCTTATAGGAATAACAAATATGTTTCATTTATTGATAGTGATTTTTTTAGTGGAGAATTATAATTGACCGTGATATTATAATTGATCGATGTTAAGATCTTTTATCTTCATAAAAAAATAGAAAAGATATGTGTGAAGAAAAAGATTTCAAATCCTTCTATCGATTTTAGACAAGATATTTTATAGTAATAGTTGTACTAATGTGAGATATATGATCATTATAGTTATTCATAAGTTGGAAGAATCACTAGATATGATAACTTAAAAGTAGATTTCGATTACAGTAAATCACGTTGTGCCTATAAAAAATCATATCAAGATTGTGTCCTCTCTAGTTTTTATTCTCGACAGAGGAAAAGTCTTTTGATTTTTTTTAATTTTGAAGACTTTGATGTATTTATATATTGGAAAGATTTGTTTAAAATTTTTTTGATGTGCAGATATCAAATTTACAGAAAACTTTTGAAGAGGTATAAAAAATAATAATAATAGTTATTATCTAAAAATAAATTTTTTTTTGTTTGTTTTTACTCACAAAGTTAACACTAGAAGTTTATAATATTAAGTTAAAAGAGAATTTATAATAAGTATTGTTCATCTTATGAACATCTTTGTAAAGGAAGTGCTCGCCGCACCTAAAATAAAAAGTCCATTACTTTCCTTTTCCATTTATAAATGCTCCATCGTCGTCCCATAACTTGGCCGGTGACGGGTGGACTTGTCGACCGGCCAAATATGATTAGTCTCACTGTCACTATCATTACTACGTGGCAATAATAGAGTGGATACAAAGATAGACCTAAAGGTGCGAGTCCTCTCTAAAAATTTTATATATTTTAACTTTATTATTTTATAATATGTTTATAACACTTTAAATTTTATAAATTTATTTTTATAACATAAAATTATATGTCCATTCTTATGTAAATGACATTTTGGATACTAAACTATCCTTGACCACTAATTTTAGCTTCCTGACAGTTAACTGTGAAACTATTAATGCTGGTACAGAACCTACCATGGAAGTTGTTTCAAAAGTTTTAGGATGGTTGCAACTCCCTCAAGATGATTCTTTGAGAAGCAAACTTGTTGAGAACCTTGAAGTTACTGTTGATCCATCAAGGTACTCTAGCCTTGGTTCACTTCTAGATGGATTTGGCGAATATGATCCTTGTGCTTTTTATTACTTGAGGTAAGTAATGCTCGACTGTAACTTTCCTGTTCTTTGTGCTCATGATTTGGAAATAGAGGTTATATTATCCAATGCTTGTGTTACCCTTTTGTAGGAACCTGCTTCTTTTGGGATTGTTCCATGCGTATCTTTCAAAAAAAGTCCTATTGTTGTAGATGCAAGAGAGTTTCAAATTAATACAGCGGAGGTATGTGAATCTATCTCCTCTAGTGCAATATCATAAAAATTTCCATTTCTTTAAGGGAGTTCATCTTTGCCTGCATTGAAACTAACTGCTTCCTTATGAGAGTGCATTGATTGGAAGCATTTTATGCCTTGTAGTTCACTGAGAATATGAATGCTTGGTCTTTATAGTTTCCTTTGGTGATCTATGTAGAAATTTGACTTTATAACAACTGGAATTTAATTAACCTGAGAAAGTTTCTGTTTCCCCCCTTTCTTATTTTCTTCTCCCCTTCCCCATGAATTTTATCATTTTTTCCACATTCCTATGTAGTATATTACGTTTATTAGTTGCAAATGTACAAAAAAATTGAATGAAATGTCAAAATTTTATAGATTTCAACGAATATTATACTGTTTGGTTAATTTGAGTAAACTATATTAAACTTCAGTTACTAGTCTCACATTACTAATTTCTGTGGACAACTTGGTAAGGTATATCTCTTTACTATATTGACAGGTCTCAAGCATCGGCTTGCTGCTGGTAATGTGATCTCCTTTTCTTTTCTTTTATTATCTACTCTGGGATTTACCATGAATTTTAAATAAATCCTTGATTTGTAAGACTGCTGGAACCATGAGAGTCTTTTAGCAGAAGACTATTGATGCAAGGGGAAAAATGCGTGGGAGAAGCAGTTGGCTGTTAAGAGCAGTTGAGAGAGTCAGTTCATCAGTTAATAATCAGTTGCAATTCCAGTTGTAAATAGTTGAAAGTTGTTAGGAGGGTTTAAATACAGCAATTGTAAATTGAGAAGCTATGTTGAATAATACCATTTTCATTCTAGGAATTTTCTTTTCTCTCTAAAAACCTCCATTAGTGGCACTGTTCTGGAGCTGTTCTCTCTTCTGCATCCCTACAACACTAATTTCATCTCTGTTAGGCTCTTGTCATATATCTTCAACTATTTACAATTGAAATTGGAACTTTTTATTAACCGATGAACTGACTCTCAACTGCTCTTAACAGCCGACTGCTTCTCTCGCCGCCTTGCGCATTCTTTCCCGCCGTTGAGTATTTTGTTTTTCAGATTAGGATGGATTATTCCTCGTGATACTGAAAACCGGGAGAGTGGAATGCTTCCCAAATGCGATTGGGAAAAGGAATCTCCGATCAGCAACGTATCATTCGAACTGGAAATCTCTCTTTGCATTAAGGGTAGAATCTTCAGAACTGATGACATGCAAGCAACCTTGTAAGAATCAGTTGTCTTTCCAGTTTCCACAAACATAAGCTGATGACTTCTACTTTCATGGCCCTTTCTACCGACTAGATTGATGAGTTGTCGATGGGAAGATTAAACAGAGAGTCTTATCCAATGATCATTTTGTAACTTATGAAGTTAAGAACATGGATAAAAAAGCTTGAAATGCAAGAAATTTATTTCTTTTCCCTGAAATAATGTACAGTGTTTATATACTTCAGGATTCTGATAATTGGAGTAAACATGGGCAAACTCAAGAACCAATATATGAGAGAGTTATGTAGGATTCAAAAACAAAGAATTTCAATATCATTATTTTACAAAATCTTGTTGGGAGAAAGCATATATATATAATCTATCTCTTCCCGCACTTTCATTTCAATTTTTCATTAGCTGGTACCTACAGTCACAAAGTCTCCTATCCTACAATGGAAACAAAAATCATCAATTTCCGGCTAAATAAAGTCTTGTTCCTTTCAGAAAGCATGCAACCGAGAAGTGAGATGAACAAATGCATCTTCGTCGCACGGAATTGTGAGGCCGCCCATCGGATGATTAAACCCAAACTCTTCCTCGGACCGGCTAAGCAAAACCATGAAAGAAGGGTGTTTCAAGTATGAAATGGGAACTACAAATCTTGTCTTCTCGATTTCTCCCACATAGACTGCAATATGCCCTTTTGGGACATCTCTCTGGTTCTTGGACTGCAGTTTGAGAACTTGCTTAGCATGATGAATCATAGAAGGTAAACGAATACCCATATCCGATACTTAAATGAAGAAAAATAAAAAAAGGTTGAGCTTGTTGATGATGAAATTGGGTTTTGGTTGATGGATGCTTAAATGATCTAGTTTTACAGGTTGAAGGTGTTTTGCTTGGTGTTTGCATTTATAAGCAGTTTGGTCTTTGAACATATCAGATTGGCATGCAATTCATTGGTATTGGAACTGAAATATGACCCACATGGCCACATCCGACACCTCTTTTTTTTTTTTTAAGTGTCACACTTGATTGACTCAAATATATCCCCTCTCTTTCAACCATTTACTATTACCTTAAACAAAAAGAAAACATTTATTATCTATAATAGTTATAAAAGACAGTCCTCAGTGCAGATGCATCCCATAACAAAGCAGCAAATGCATGTGATGATGAGTTTCCGGATGAAGATAAAACCATGTTCATGAGTCTTCCATTGCTATGTATCTCCATAATCATAGTATAGATTTAATCAACAGATCATAGTACATATTTGACACTGTTGGGCTATAAGTAGTTCACTCCCTTTTATTTGGGTAGAGAATTATAACCGGTGAAGGAAAGATCATGACCAATATCAAAGTCTTTTGTAACCATAAAGAGGTAGAGGAGGGGTTAATATAGAGAGGGTCTAGTCCCTTCTCTCAGTATTAATTGAAAGGTTTTATAATGACATTTAGTGTTGGTGTCAGATGTAAGGTCATGATGGCTATTTATAGATAGAGAAGATAGATGAATCCTATTGATGTCATCAACTATCAATAAATTTTGGTTTTAACAATCACGCATGACTTGTCAGAGATCATGTCAAAGAGTCGTAACTTCTTAAGAAGTACAAGGATCTAGAGACCTTATGTCCGGAGATGCTCTCCAGAGACCTTACACGCGGAGATGTTTTTCGGAGGCCTAGATATATGGAAATGGTACAAGTACCAACAATTTATGACTTAACCAACTACAATTTGGTTTAATGATATAAACATTAAGTTTATTAAGTAAAATCAAAGATTTGAATCTTTGACATTGTGAAAAAATAAATAAATTGAGAGAATCATCTTATAATAATTCTTTGTGATAATCAATACATATTACTCAATTAATTAAATTTAATATTTGAAGAAGTAAAAAGTTCAATGATCATTCATGATTAAAGGATATAATTGAGGGAATGCCTTGTAAGATTTATTATTCATAGCTACTAAATGATTGGAGTGATAATCAGACGTGGAAGTTTCCATTTTTTTCTGCGATATTATCTGGTAATGCACATGGAGTGATTGACCAAATCTCACGCTGCTAATCTACATGCAGTGCTTATTTAATAATGTAAACTATACTAATGGTTATTTTAAGGTAATCACCAAATTTTCAAAACTTGCGTTATAATGATTAAAATTTTGATTCGTTTTTATTATGGTCATTACTGATAAAAAAATTAATGTGATATATTAAAATCTTTAAGAACCGTAAGCTTCTTCTTCTAAATTGACAATTATCACTCTTGCTTTCATCATTTTTTTTTCGGCATTCTTCCAATCATTGTCTACACTCACAACCACCAATAACATCATACAATAAACAATAGCACGAACAAAACGAAGGAGTAAAGAAAAAGAAGAGAAAATGAAAATTACTCATCTCAACCTTAACAAGTTTTTGATGAATAAAGTAGTTGCCGATCAATCCAACTGTACGAAGGCTTCATTTGGCTAGAAGAATAATGTAGTTTGATTTCAAGCTGAATTGGCAGTTGACAGTGGTGGATCGAAATGTTTTATCTTTTATTTTCGATTGAGATTTTAGGAGGTTGAAAGGTTTTTCGAGATGAATTTGAATTGAAGGGAAAAAAGAGAAGAAGAAGAAGAAGAGTAGTTTAATGATCTTTTCGATAAGAGAAATCAATGAACAAAAGCAAAAATGAGAGGAGCAACGATTTCCGATTTGGAAGAAGCTTATGATTTTTTAACGTGTTACATTAATTTTCTAAAAACAATGATTATAATGAAAGCAAATTAAAAATTTAATGACAATAATATAAGTTATAAAAATTTAATAGCCAAAACGTGTAATTTATCTTCTTCAATTTTTTTATGAAAGAAAATTGCAGATTTGTAGCAAGTTCCAACCTACCAAGTTGAAGGATAATTGGATCTAGAGCAACTGTATTGAGAACATGAGCAAGATAGATTAGGGAATCTCTCTTTCTATGGGAAAGGATGTGCGCAACCGTTTGCTACATGTGCCTGATACCTTATTTTAATTTACAAATGTTTTTTAATCAAAATATTAGTATTTGAATTGGAGTAATATTTAAATTAAATAATGGTTTTAAAGCGTTTATGTCATGCTCTTTAAGTTGTATTCACACCTACCATGTATCTTATGCTATACAACTACCGGCTATAATGAACCCCAAAAACTGTTTGTTTTAGAAAATTTTCGTTAGGTCCACCTGAAAATTTTCATTTCATCTTATTATATCCCTTGTGCATCTCAAATCCCTACTTCAACCTTCTTTCCTCTTTAACATAGAACCTCAACATCGACCAACGATCATTCCACCACCGGTTATAGATTTTCACCAGGGTTTCAAATCACGGTGGCGGTCGTGTTTTCGGTTATTTCGGATTTACCGTGATTGCGGTCGTCGCGGACGCTATTGCGGCCGTCGCGGGTAACTCGGGCAGCGACGAAACTGCTATATCGCGGACGAAATCTCGATCACGGACCGTTTTTTGAAACCCTGATCTTCACTTAAATTAGAAAGGGGTGAACCATTTATAATCGTCGTAACCTATTTGTTCTCATCGACAATATTGGTGTGGTGAGTGTGTACAACACTCCAAACCGAAAAAATCAGTCATGATGAATCCTTCAAACCAACCATTTCCCGAAATTGTTTGTTCTGACAGACTGCATCGAAATGACTGCAACCCAACATATATACTACGAATCCTTCCTAGCTTTTTATAGCATATTTGATCATCCTTGTAACATTTTCCCTACTAGAATATCAACAGAACTTTGATCACGATGAACAAACCCATGATCTGCACAGTTAACCGTGAATCTCACATACACAATCCCTAACCTTCAACACTAAAGGACCTCATTAACAAGGGCAAATTGTTTCTTACCCTAATGCTCGAATGACCGAGATGCCTCCTTAAATTTCTTGGGAAACATAGGAGGCACAGTTCAACAACAAGAGCACAATGTACGATGAAGAGAAGGACCCTGACGCAGCTGGTTCTTTCCCATCCGAGTTATGCTACACCTCCACCCTTCATGTGGACAACAATGGAAACATGTGATCTCCACCCAATGTAATCAGTTCCTACAATTTGTGTGTGGTACAGGACAACAAGACGAGTTATATATGACATGGGACGGTATACTCGTCATAAGAGACATTGACCGACATTGAGTTAACAATTGTCACACAGTAATGTGGTAAGTCTTACACAATTACGCAAAAAAATTCTTCATTTATAAGAATACTTTGTAACATGGTAAGTGTTCCCCGTCATACATGAACATCAGATTTCTTATTCTTCCACGGGGACATTAGAATCGTTTGAAGGTACGTTCCTCACATATCTTCTTATTACTTCTTTGGATGCTTTATATCCTCTGTCATGTTACCGTGACGTTGAGATGCCTCCACTTTGTTGTCATAATATGGATGCCTTCTCTTTGATCAAATGCATTGAGAAACTTCCGCATTAACTGACTAGATGAGTCAAGATGGCTATGTTATCTATTGATAACAAGAAGCCTCTACCTACGGATACCGTCGAGATGTCTTCGTTGGGAGGAAAGATACCTTTATCCTAAGCTCACAACTTATAAAATTACCCAAGGGTTGGAGAGCCTCCACTCTATCAATAGGAGTTCCTCCTTTGTGCCTTAACCAACTTCGAGATGCCTTTACTCTAGCTAAAGACACCCAACTCTTCACTTCTATCAAAACAAAGATGTCTCAATCATACTTGCAGACTTTTCTTAAAGTATGGAGATGTCTCTGCAATACATGCAGAGCGTTGCCGCAGACTGAGTTGCCTCATCTAACTGGCAAAATCTCGTTGATAGGGCGTTGAAAATTTTTTATTCGTTAAATAGTGGGATCGCCAGATTAATTGTTAAAGTAGTGTCCTCTACAGTACCGGGGGTAGGTCGCCATGCACGCCCGGCGACCAACCAGGTCGCCATGCACGCCCGGCGCCCAACCAGGTCGCCATGCACGCCCGGCGACCAACCAGGTCGCCATGCACGCCCGGCGACCAACCAGGTCGCCATGCACGCCCCTGCGACCTACCCCACGACCTCCATGCACGCCCATGCACGCCCAACGACCTCCATGCATGCCCAGGCACGTCCAACGACCTCCGTGCACGGCCATGCACGCCCAACGACCTCCATGCACGCCCAGCTCGCCAAAGGTCACCATGCAGTCCATGCTTGGACTGAACAACGTTGGGCCATGCAGGATAGGTAGCCATACAATCCTCTCCACTTGCAGCTGCTCAGGAGAACCTATTCCTCCTGCTCCTCGCGTGATTCCTCTTACATCTGCTCAGGAGACTCATGCATGCAGCTGTAATAGCTGTATTATTGCAGCATGATTTGAGCTGCAAAGTGTCATAGATTCGTGCCCTAGCTTCTAGCCATAGCTTGTCCCTCATGCCATAGCTTCGAGACTGTTCACTCTTGTTATCATAGCTGTATTGGTGCAGCATAAAATCTGCTGTGTTGTATTATTGCAGCGTTCAACGGTTGAAAAATTTACAGCTTTCAACGTGAATTATACAGCTCAAATTGATTGCAACTTACCTACCAACCGTTCAAATATCATTATATATTGGATATGAGGGGTTTAGGGTAGAATCATAAGAAAGAAAGAAAATTTGGCGAGAGAAAGGAAATGAAAGGAAAATAAGAAGAAGAGGAAATGGAGATAAAGGCTCAAATATCGTTTGTGAGGTAATTTTTAATTGTTTAATTTAGTTTATTAATATGAAATTATGAAATAATTAGTTTGTTAGTTTAGGGTTTAGGATAAAACAGAAATTTAGTTAATTAGTTTGTTAGTATAAATTATTAGTTTGTTAGTTTAAGTTATATTATATTAATTTGTTAGTTTAAGTTATATATTAGATTATATAAAAAATTAGTTAATTAGTTTCTTAGTTTAAGTTATTAAATGTAAAAAATATTAATTAATTTGTTAGTGTGTTTAAACGTATATTAAGTTGTTTGTTGAAGTTTAAGTTAAAATATTAAAAAAGTTAATTAGTGCTTAATTAGTTTGTTAGTTTGTTATTTTAACTAAATTATATTATAATAAAGAAAAAGTTTAATAGTTTAAGTTCTATTATAATATATTAGATTATATAAATTTAATTTTTTTAATTTATTGTTGTTTAAAGAAATAATTTTTTTACACGTACAGAGCATTATTCCACAACATTTTTCCACGTACATTGATTCGAAGAAAGAAACAATAAAGGAAAGGAAAGGAAAGGAAATGAGCAACAACTTTTTCACGATTGTCCATTATAATGGACAGATTATGGAAAATGAGATCGGAGTAGTTTTTCAGTCTGAAAAACCAATAAATATGATGTTCAAAAAAGACATCACATTTATAGAAATGAAGCATAAGATAGAAAGAAAAATTCGAGTTGCAGTTGATGGTTTGAGGTATAGGTTTATGATATGCCCCAACCCAGTCAAATATGCTGCAGTTCCACTTGAAGAAGATGATGATATTGGAACCATGGTTCGATTACATGAGTTAACCAATATAGCAGTTATTGAGTTATTTGTTGATGTGCATAACATATGTGATGTTCCTGGGTCATCAAGAGGTGTGGCTCAAAATCCATCTGAAATGACTTTATATAGTCAGTTTGAGGAGCCGACATACAGGTTCCCGAACAGTTTTATGGCACTATTGGAAAGTGTAAATGAAGTCGGGGGGACATCTGCAACAGAAGAGTGTGAGACGAGAAACATACCGGAATTGGTTGTTGATATTGACGCTGAAAATCGATGGGGAGAAATTCATGATGATTCAAGCGAAGATGAAGAAACCGAAGAACCCGTTTTGGGCGGCGACGAAAATATTTTTGGTGGAGGTGCAATTGATGAAGTTCCGGCACCGTATGAAGCTACTCCTCACATGTACGAGATAGACTATGATGCGATGAGGGCACCTGAATTCCCAGACATGCCACATTTACCTCCATACCAAATGACTGCATCATTCGATAATTCTGGTGAATACCACATGTACTCTTTAATCGCTAGGGTAGCTTCATTTTTTCCTCTGAATTGCACCCCAACTGAAAATTCACCAGAATTATCGAATGATGCAGTCATTTGGTATGGAGGTAAATGTGGCATGTCTGGGAATTCAGGTGCCCTCATCGCATCATAGTCTATCTCGTACATGTGAGGAGTAGCTTCATACGGTGCCGGAACTTCATCAATTGCACCTCCACCAAAAATATTTCGTCGCCGCCCAAAACGGGTTCTTCGGTTTCTTCATCTTCGCTTGAATCATCATGAATTTCTCCCCATCGATTTTCAGCGTCAATATCAACAACCAATTCCGGTATGTTTCTCGTCTCACACTCTTCTGTTGCAGATGTCCCCCCGACTTCATTTACACTTTCCAATAGTGCCATAAAACTGTTCGGGAACCTGTATGTCGGCTCCTCAAACTGACTATATAAAGTCATTTCAGATGGATTTTGAGCCACACCTCTTGATGACCCAGGAACATCACATATGTTATGCACATCAACAAATAACTCAATAACTGCTATATTGGTTAACTCATGTAATCGAACCATGGTTCCAATATCATCATCTTCTTCAAGTGGAACTGCAGCATATTTGACTGGGTTGGGGCATATCATAAACCTATACCTCAAACCATCAACTGCAACTCGAATTTTCTTTCTATCTTATGCTTCATTTCTATAAATGTGATGTCTTTTTTGAACATCATATTTATTGGTTTTTCAGACTGAAAAACTACTCCGATCTCATTTTCCATAATCTGTCCATTATAATGGACAATCGTGAAAAAGTTGTTGCTCATTTCCTTTCCTTTCCTTTCCTTTATTGTTTCTTTCTTCGAATCAATATGTACGTGGAAAAATGTTGTGGAATAATGCTCTGTACGTGTAAAAAAATTATTTCTTTAAACAACAATAAATTAAAAAAATTAAATTTATATAATCTAATATATTATAATAGAACTTAAACTATTAAACTTTTTCTTTATTATAATATAATTTAGTTAAAATAACAAACTAACAAACTAATTAAGCACTAATTAACTTTTTTAATATTTTAACTTAAACTTCAACAAACAACTTAATATACGTTTAAACACACTAACAAATTAATTAAATATTTTTTACATTTAATAACTTAAACTAAGAAACTAATTAACTAATTTTTTATATAATCTAATATATAACTTAAACTAACAAATTAATATAATATAACTTAAACTAACAAACTAATAATTTATACTAACAAACTAATTAACTAAATTTCTGTTTTATCCTAAACCCTAAACTAACAAACTAATTATTTCATAATTTCATATTAATAAACTAAATTAAACAATTAAAAATTACCTCACAAACGATATTTGAGCCTTTATCTCCATTTCCTCTTCTTCTTATTTTCCTTTCATTTCCTTTCTCTCGCCAAATTTTCTTTCTTTCTTATGATTCTACCCTAAACCCCTCATATCCAATATATAATGATATTTGAACGGTTGGTAGGTAAGTTGCAATCAATTTGAGCTGTATAATTCACGTTGAAAGCTGTAAATTTTTCAACCGTTGAACGCTGCAATAATACAACACAGCAGATTTTATGCTGCACCAATACAGCTATGATAACAAGAGTGAACAGTCTCGAAGCTATGGCATGAGGGACAAGCTATGGCTAGAAGCTAGGGCACGAATCTATGACACTTTGCAGCTCAAATCATGCTGCAATAATACAGCTATTACAGCTGCATGCATGAGTCTCCTGAGCAGATGTAAGAGGAATCACGCGAGGAGCAGGAGGAATAGGTTCTCCTGAGCAGCTGCAAGTGGAGAGGATTGTATGGCTACCTATCCTGCATGGCCCAACGTTGTTCAGTCCAAGCATGGACTGCATGGTGACCTTTGGCGAGCTGGGCGTGCATGGAGGTCGTTGGGCGTGCATGGCCGTGCACGGAGGTCGTTGGACGTGCCTGGGCATGCATGGAGGTCGTTGGGCGTGCATGGGCGTGCATGGAGGTCGTGGGGTAGGTCGCAGGGGCGTGCATGGCGACCTGGTTGGTCGCCGGGCGTGCATGGCGACCTGGTTGGTCGCCGGGCGTGCATGGCGACCTGGTTGGGCGCCGGGCGTGCATGGCGACCTGGTTGGTCGCCGGGCGTGCATGGCGACCTACCCCCGGTACTGTAGAGGACACTACTTTAACAATTAATCTGGCGATCCCACTATTTAACGAATAAAAAATTTTCAACGCCCTATCAACGAGATTTTGCCTGGTGAGGGTATTGAGATGTCTCCATTCCTCTATAAATTTTTTTGGTATCGACCGATAAAAATTATATTTTACATTTATGCATAGTTTTAATATTTATTCCTTTTTTTTCTAATTAAATCAGAAATTTCCATATGAAAAACAAATATGTAAATGGTCAATAACTTCCAGTCGTTAATGTGTTCAATATTTACACTACAACTCGTAGGGGGAAAAAAGCTTGTAAAAAATTACAGCTTCGTATATCCATCATCATCATGGTTCATGCGGGATTCAACTTAGACGTGAGCCTGATGAAAGCATCTTCTTTGCATGGAATGGTGAGGCCACCCATCGGATGATCGAAACCGAATTCCTCCTCGGCACGGTTCAGCAACACAGCGAACGAAGGATGGTTCAAATACGAAATGGGAACCACGAAACGTTTTCGTTGCGCCTCTCCAACATAAACCGCGACATGGCCTTTGGGCACGTCCGATTGTTTCCGAGAGAAGCCGGAATGGTGTTTCAGAAGCTGCCTGGAACCCTGGATCATTGCCGGCAAACGGAAACCCATATTTTCAAAGCAGCTAATATTGTTTAAAGCTGAAACAAGTTGGTATATTGTATGTGGAGAAACTGGTTGGAATTGGAAGCTTGGGCTGGTGTTTGTATTTATATAGGGTGAATTTTGTGTTTTGGCAGCTGGTTTGCAGTTGTCCACATGGTTTACATCACTCAACTTGCGGCAGGAGGTGCCAAAGGTTTTGATTAGTATAATTTGAGTGGCACATGTACATGAACATGAACCTGTATGTACTAAACTATATGATTGGATTAACGTGGGATTGGTGTTCACATGCATTGAAAATTTCTTCTTTTGTTGAGAGTATAAAGTTTTGGCGATTATGGAAGCCAGATAGGAAAGGTCTAGCATGAATTATGGGCTTGATTATAATATTATAGAATTATGGATAACTACATTTAGTACATTTTTTGTCACTCAACTATTATTTTTTAAAATCATATTTAATATTATATTTTTGTTTCATTTTAATTATTTACTATTAAAAGATTGACAGAATTATTGATGCAATAAATCAATGATGTCGTGACATTATCTTATGGCGACATATTAACATAATCATTAATTTTTTAAAAATAAATAAAATAAAACTAAAACGTAAAAATAAGATATGATTTTAAAATAAAAAATAATTAAATTGTCAGGTTTTTCCTCTTACAAATTAGCATCATCATTGTTAGCGTCTGATTCTAAATAATCAAAGGAGATATAGGGATGCAGTTGAAGTTGTCAGGTTTTCCTAGAACCAAAAGGCTCATAAACCATTTGTTTTTTGTTGAGTTCTGAGAGGATCGACGACTCCAACTTGGCCACTGTGCTGAGAGGACCCATCGCGCCAGAGGGCTCACATGGGTTAGCTCAGTTGAATCCAAAGACCATCTTTTGTTAGCCATTTTGTTCGAGAAAACAGGGCGTACGCAGGAAAATTCGGAGCAACGTGATCGTTAATGATGCATTATCTGTTTGTTGTTTCTTTGTACTGTTGAGCCAATTTTTTAATAGAATAAAATAGTAATTTTTAAAATTCAGAATTTTAAAGAAAAATAATATTTTTTATTACTAAAATTGGATTTGAATATTGAATTAATTTTTTTTTTGTTTAGGTTGAATACAAAGTAATACACGTTTAAAGATTTTTAATAATTTAACAATAAATGTTCATACTTCTATATATCGTATTCGAAATCTCAAAATATAATACTAAATTTATTAATTTGAGTTCGTTTAATCTATGCGAATATTAAAACTAATTTAAATGCATAACATGTTGCTAATTAATGATAAGTGGGATTGATCCAAATTAAGTCATCATTGACCAAAGTGAATATGCGAGAACGTTAACGTGTAACCTTACAAAATATTCTTACCTAGTACGGAACTACAGTCGATCCATGTGGTCCTAGCTGGCTAAATACATACAGTATCCTCGTATTTTGTCTTTCCACGGATTAAGTACTTATTTATTAGTATAATCATCGGATTCAGGCATAAAGAAAATTATTATGATAATATTTTAATTTAATTTATTAATGTAAGATTACAACTTTGGATGTTATTGTTAAGAACGTAATACTTTATTTTATTTGACTAATTTGATACCGATGCTAATTTCCCCCCTAATTCTTAGGTTATGTATTTTTTATTAAAAAAGTTAATTTAAGTGTCATTAGCTATGTGCACGAATCAAGCTACTTTAATGGTTAAAGGAATGATTGTTATCTTTAGAGGTCACAAGTTTAACCAGCAAAGACTACAAAGGTGTGAATTTTTATTGTCAAATGGTTGATAATCTTTAAAACAAATGCTATCTTATAATCATCCTAGATTAATTAAAAAAAATTGTCATTAGCTGTGTGAATAATTTGACGTGGCTTATTTTTTTAAGCATGTCATTTACACCTTGCATTTTCCTTTTTAAAGTGGAACGGTTTTGAAGAAGATAAGAGAAAAGAAAGTGTAAGTTATATCAGACATCTCTATACTTTAGGTGCCGTCCATTATCGGTCACATTTTGCGACAAGATAGGTGTTAAAATTCGAATTTCACTCATTTTTCTTATGTTAGGATTGATTTGTCACGAACTCGCTCAAAATCAACGAAATTAAACAAAAAATATATCATATTTAGAAGTTTGAGGACATTCATAGATTTGAGGATTTAAAGTGTTTGTTTGAAAATTCGAAAGGTAAAAGCATTAATTCAAGAAGACGGAAAATACCTCAAAACTAGTCTCATTGGATGATCATTAGAAAAGATCAGAGTATTAGAACGTCAAATTTTTCAATAGATTTTTTTTTCCGAATTTGAGTGAGTTTCGTGGAAAACTGATGATAAGAGAAAAAAGATGAGTGAAATGCAAACATTTTGCTACTAATCCTACCACGAAAGACGACTGATGACGAGCGATAATTGGCTTCCAGCGGCGACCGAAAAAATGTAGTACCAAAAGTGGATATGTTTAAAAATTTAGTGGCAAAATTGATACATCTCTAAAGCTCAGTGCCAAAAACGATGTTATTTTGGATATTAATAGTCGTCGTCGAAACTATGTTATTTTGTACATGTCATCATAGTGACAAAAATATCTATCAACATCATCATGTCATTAAAATTTAACGACCCAATAACGTAATTGAAGTTAAAACCAAAATTCAATGCTATAATTGGAGTAATTGAAAGTTTGATGGTATAAATGATACATTGTCTAAAGTTGAATGGTATATGGTGTAATTTATTAGAAAATGTATAATATTTACCCAATTATTAAAAATTGAAAACATTAAATTATAATGTAAAGATAAAAGATTAGATCTAGTAAAAGTATTAAAATAGTCATTGTATAATATTTTAAATTGAGTTTTGGTCCCTACTAAAAGAAGGAACAAACTTGATCAATATGTAACTTAGGGTGCATTTGGTTCACGGAATGTAAGATTATAAGTGGGAATAAAAGATTACCAATGGGAATAAAAGATTATTAGGGAATAGGATTACTGAGAATGTTGTATTTTGTGTTTGATTGGTTTAGTAGGAATGTAAGATTAACATGTTTGGTTAAAAAAATAAAAGATTATTAGAATGTATATTTGATCAAATTGTCCTTATTATATATTTGTTTTTTTAACAAGTTAGAAAATATTTATATTTTCTTTAAAAAAATTAAATTCATAAAATATATATATATATATATATATATTCAAAATTTAAAATATAAAAAGGTTTTAATGAAAGGGTAAAATTTATTTTAGCCCCCGAACTTCATATAAAATTTTAATTATAGTTTTTTTTGTAAATTTAAAATAGTTTAAGGATAAATTTGTAATTTAACCTTCGTAATTTTTTTATTATTCAATGACATAATATTAATATTTTTTAAAGAAAAAAAATTTCAATGGCATTTTAGTCCAAAACGCCGATAATCCAACATTCCCATGGGAATCTCACATTCCACCAACCAAACACACCCATGGGAATGGAATCCACATTCCCCCGTTTAGTTGGCCGAGAATGTCATTCCCGGTAATCTTACATTACCAATAGTGGATTTTTTGGGGTATATTATCGGGAATGTCATTACCTCACTTTCCTTAGATATTATTGGATTACTGGCGTTTTGGACTAAAATGCCCTTAAAAAAATTTCTTTAAAAAATATCATTATTCTGTCATTGAATAATAAAAAATTTACGAAGGCTAAATTACAAATTTATCCTTAAACTATTTTAGATTTACAAAAAAAATCTATAATTAAAATTTTATATGAAGTTCGGGGGTTAAAATAAAATTTTATCCTTTCATTAAACATTTTTATATTTTCAATTTTATAAAAAAATTTATATAAATTTTATGAATTTAATTTTTTTAAAGAAAATATATAAATATTTTCCAACTTGTTAAAAAACAAATATATAAGGACAATTTGGTCAAAATATACATTACAATAATCTTTTATTCTTTAACCAAACACGATAATCTTACATTCCTGCTAAACCAACCAAACACAAAATACAACATTCCTAGTAATCCTATTCCCTGGTAATCTTTTATTCCCACTAATAATCTTACATTCCGTGAACCAAAGCACGTATAATATAGAGATTGCTAGGATCGATACTTTTATCAGTATATTATTTTAATTTTTTATTATATCTCTGTCATACATAATATTTGAACTCAAAATTTTAATAAATAATATTTTTTAAATTATTGATCGCTTGATTCCTGTTAATTATATTAAATTTATATATATATATATATAGACAAAATCTTATAAAGATGGGCGTAAAACAGCAATTTGCGGTACTGCTTAGCGGCGTAGAATTTAATGACTGGTAAAAACAATTCAAAAGCACATGCATGAACTGACGACTCACCGACTTCAACCATCCGCCATGTTTGGGGCACCAGTTTCATTATTACATGTTTATTAAACAATTGAATAAACGTTGAAAAGAGATCATATGCATGCAAACATCGAGAGGTATGGGCAGTAGTTGAAAACGGCAATAAATCAGAGGCCAAGTTGAAGGCAATTTTCAACATTCCAAGCATTTAATTCAGTTACTGACATAAGGAATCTGCAACAAATGCACCAGAGAAATTATTGCTTTTGAATGTGGAAACCAGTGGGCGATCTTCTTACTAAAAATAGTGGCATTTTCCGGGTTACTTTTGGTCCAAGTTATAGTATTTCCATGCATTCAAAATTCTTGAGCATTTCGAATCGGGACTAAGGAGGCATACTTTACGGTGACAGGACTTGTAGGATTCTGTTGATAACAACAAATTGATTTTGTCGGTTATAAATGATTTTTCTCTTTTTAATTTAAACGAAAAATTTGATAGAAGAATAACCATATGCCTATGTTTAAATGGAGGAAAGAATGAATTATAAAGCGAAAGAAGGTTATCGTAAAAGGTGTCAGTCCTTTCTTCTAATTAAAGATATTTATAGTGATTTTTAGTGTATATCAGCCATAAAGTTATCATGAT